ATGATGTCCGCTAATTACTGCATATAAATTTACGCTAATTGTACTGATTCCTGTTATCACCACATAAAGTTGATTCGAAAAACACAAAGCAACTTTAACTTCACAGCTTACATCTAATAAATCTTTAAGTATGCTCATATTACCTAGGTGTCCATATTACCCTAATCTACCATATATATATATATATATATATATATATATATATATATATATATATATATATATATATATATATATATATATATATATATATATTTTTAAACAATTTTAAAATGTATTCTACAAAAAGAGTGCTCAATGTTCTTAAAAGAACAGAGCAAATACAAATTAGTAGAAAATCACTTAGCAAAATTTTTTCTCATTTAACACCGTGTTTCATCAATAAAGACATCAGAAATGAATGATCAAATTAAAAAAACTTCAATTTATACCAAAAATTAAATTACAGGAAGTCACATGTCTTAACTACTGCAATTTTTCACACATTTGTGTAATTTGCTGACACTATTGTAAAAAGAATTCTTTAGAAATGATTACTTAAGCTTTTTTAAAAAATAATATATTTTTTTCAAAGGGGAGTTAATGTAACTATTATTTGAGCTCACTTATTTTTATAGTTTTTTAGGAGAAACTTATTTTCGTGCCTGCATTTAGAAATCAATTCCGATTTTTTGTTTAATAAACATTCTTGGTTTGTATGTGTAATTATTTCAAATTTTTCTTGTAGACATAGTATGCACTTTTTGGAAATATTGTTATATGCAGGCACTGCTTTAAGGATAGACCAATTCAGTGTAAAATCATCAATATTTTTATCTTTTAATTCCCATATATATTTTGACAGCATGGTGTCTTTTGAATACTTTTTATTTTTAAAAGATTGCTTATGATTGGCAAAACGTTTTTTCCATTCACCTTCTGTTATGCCAATATATTGTTTATCAGGTATATTCTGAGAGGAGACAACACATTTATATACCACATTTTTTGATAAGCAACTTCCACTCATTGGACAATTGTTTTTTTGTTTACAATTACAATTTTCTGTAGTTTTTTCATTTTGGATTTCCTTTTTGTTTAACAAAGCATTGTTGTGACCTTTTGTAATTCTTTCCGTATTTTTTGTGCAACTGTAGCTAACTTTAATAGTATTTCGCTTAAGGATTTAGAAATGGCATGATTATTTTGTTGTCAGATTTAGAAAAGAAACCACCAGCATATCAAGCTGCTATGTTAATATATACATTTTCTTCAGAAACTCGAAACATTTACGAATCATTAAATCTAACCAAAAATAAAAAAACGGATCCTATTATATCGGAAAAAATGGAAGTGTTTGCTAAAGGTATTATTAATGAGACTTTAGAAGGACATAAATATTTTAAACGTTTTCAAGAAGATGGTGAATGCTTTGATGATTTCTTAACCGAAGTAAAATTATTACGTAAAAATTGCAACTTTTGCAATACTGAAGACTGTTTTGGCAGTTTATTAAGAGATAAAATTCTATATGGAATACGATGTGACAAAGTACGTGAGAAATTACTTTCTGAAAAAAACTTTGACACTCGATAAAGCAGTAGAAACTTGTCGTTCTTCAGAAAAAGCACAAAATGGTGTTAAATTTAACTCATTGATATGTAAATTTTGTTTAAAAAAGCATCCATTTGTTCGGGGATCGTGTCCAGCATGGGGTTAAAAGTGCAAAGACTGTAAAATTTTTAATAACTTCTTAAATAGTTCAGTTTGCCTAAAAACAAAACCAAATATTCCTGATAGATGTGTTGATCAACAGAATGATAGTAACAATTTGTCAAGTATGCAGCATCTAGGTGGATTGTTTTTAAAAAGAGTCGGAGCAGATTGTGCAGACAGACCTTGGAAAATACAATAAAAAGTAAAATATGGAAAAATAACATTTAAAATTGACACAGGCTCAGCGCCTGTGTCAATTTTACGGTTACAGTTATAGGAATAAACGATTTACAAAAGTTTGGAATTAAAATTAAACATTAATACACAACTATTAAACGATTAATCGGTCCTGATTATAAGCTACTCAATTGTCTTGGATGCTTTCAAAAATCATTTATTATAAACGTTTGGAACAGTGAATTAATTACTATATATGATTGTGATAATTTGCAAACTGCTTTATTGAGAAGACTTGCCTTACAAAAGTTTAACCTTGCTAAAGTAGACATTCCTGAAAGATTCATGTAGGCTATGATTTCCAAATCAAAAAGTAACATTATAGAACAGTTTTCTTCAGTTTTCAATGGGTTAGGGACTATTAAAGGTGACCCTGTACATATTACAACTCAAAAAAATGCAACACCGTGCCACATTGGAGCGCAACGACGTATAGCGTTCCCACTACTAGAACCGTTGAAGATAGAACTAGAGCGTATGAAAGAGATGGGTGTTACAAAATAGTAGATCAACCTACAGATTGGTGTTATCCAATAGTAGTTGTGAAAAAACCAAATGGACTACTTCGTATTTATATTGATTTAACACAATTAAACAAAGACACCAAACGTGAATTCTATGAACAAGTGCCAAGTGTAGACGATACATTGGCCCAACTTGGAAATAGATGTAAATATATGGCCGAGTTAGACGCTAACTTAGAATATTGGCAGTTACTAATGGATATTGAAAGTCAGTTAAAATGTACATTTACGACCCTTTTTGGTCGGTTCTGCCCAACAAGGGGGCCATTTGGATTAACATCGCTCCCTGAAGTTATTAGTAAAAAAATGGATCAAGTTATTGATGGTCTACAAGGAGTGGTTAAAAGTATGGTTGATTTTTTAGTCTTTGGAAATAGAGAAACGAAATATAATGTATCTTGTAGCATTGCTAAATATATTTGCTGAAAATGGAGTTACCCTTAATGTAGAGAAATGTTTATTCGATGAAACAGAAGTGGAGTTTTTAGGTCATAAAATATCAGCACATGGAGTAAAACCATTGACCAAAAAAGTTGAAGCAATAAAAAATATTCTAAAGTCAACTAACATTACGTCTTTACATAGTTTTTTAGGCATGATTCAGCAATTATCTAAATTCAATCCATCGCTTGCTAAAGTAGCTAAACCCATGCGAGATCTTTTGAGTTCTAAATCAGCATGGTTTTGGACTGAAAATCATACAAGAGCATTCAATAAGGTAAAAAACAATTTAACCAATTCACTATTTTGGCGCACTACGATGTTAAAAAACCTGTAAAAGTAAGAACAGACGGAAGTTTATTAAATGGAGTTAGCGTAATAGTTTACCAGAATCATAATAGTCTATATACAAACCAATTGATTGTGCATCTAGGTTTCTTACGACAGCTGAAAAAAATTATTATCCGATCGAAATGGAAATGTTAGCAGGGGGTGCACACGAATGTCTAAATATTTGTATGGTTTACCAAATTTTATATTAGGAACAGATCACAAACCATTAGTTCCAATATTAAACTACCGTTCACTTATTGATGTCTCTAAGAATTCAACGTTTAAGAATGAAGTTGTTAAGATTTTCATTTACTGCAGAGCATGTTGCTGGCAAGTCTATTACTGATGCAGATGCAATTATTGCAGAAAATGATCTGAATGTGTATGTTAATTCTATAATAAAAACTATGCCTGCAACAGAGAGTCGTTTAGAAGAAATTATGCAAAAAAACCTGCGGTAGATGAACTTTTAAACCAATAGTAAGAAAGTATAATTTCTGGATGGCCAAATTCAAAAAAATACTGTGCGGCAAATATCCAACCTTATTGGGATTTTAAAGATGAAATAGTTAAAATTGATGGACTCTTGTTATATCAGAATAGAATGATAATCCCAGTTTGTATGCGGAAAGAAATTCTTTCAAATTGCACGATGGTCATTTGGGGATGGAGAAATGCAAACGTCATGCACGTCAGAGTTTTTTGGCCAGGTTTAAATAACCAAATTGAACAGTTAATTAGAAAGTGTGAGGCATTTATGAAGCATCAAAGCCATAAGAACCTCTGCTAACTCCTGATGTCCCAACACGGCAATGGCAAAAACCGGAAATTGATTGTTTCAGTGGGCTGTAAAAACTATTTAACTATTGTCGATTATTATAGCTTGTGGACTGAGGTGTTTCTGCTTCTAAATACTGGATCAGCAAATGCTTGCAAAAAATCTTTTTCTGGAAATGGTATCCCTGGGGAATTAGTGTCAGATTATAGTACACAATATAGTTCGAAAGTGTTTCGTTAATTCTCTCATCAGTGGCAATTTAAGCACATAACAAGTATTCCACACTATACACAATCAAATGATTTAGCAGAAGCAACTGTAAAATCAGTAAAACTGTTGATAAAGAAATGTTAGGTCGAATGAGGACATTTATAAAGGTATCTTAATTTTACGTAATACTCTAATAAAATGTGGTTTATCTCAACTGAGAGATTAGTTAACCAGGTTTCAATCTCAAAATAAGCAGTCGAAATACTCAGAGAGAGAGTTCAATCTAAAAAATACTATGATAAAAATATTGGTACTTTTTAACGATACTTCTATAGACAAGGTCAAACTGTTGCAATTCAAAACGAAGTAACTCGTGAATGGAGTCTTAGAGGTAAAACAATGAAATGCGTTGCCCCTGGATCATATGAAGTAAAATTAAATCACAACGGACATATCCTTCGTCGAAATCAGATTCAACTTAAAAAGGTTTACGCTATATCTGCTCCATGTGGCTATAATGGTACAACGTCATCGGAATGGAGAGCGAGAATGATATAATAGAAAAAAACAATATAGTTGAAAATACAATAGTTGAAAAAAAGATCAAAGAGTTCGATTATCAAGTCGTGGACGAAGAATAAAGAATAAAATACCAATCGATTATGAAGATTTATGAATTAACTTGATTTCTTGACATTTATATAAATAGTTTGTTTATTAGGGACACGTGTCATATTATTATACATGTATATATACGGCCCTATCTTATATATCAGTTCCGGTCTTTAAGTAGAATATATTATGAACACAACATAAACACATATTTATCAAATCTAACATTTTTTTTAATTAGAAACTTAAAGAAGTTTAAAGATTTTAACGTATTTAAACTTTTTGCTTTTTGAAGTGTTCTATAGTCTTGGTCCACGGAACGCTATTCCATATTCAGAGAACTTGCTATTAATTCTTCGCAATTTATAAGTATTCCATTGGTTTATTTTATGGTTATTTCGTCAACAATTTTTGTAAATTTATCATTAGAGTAGTATCTTCTAGATATTCGAATTTCCTTTTTAATCTATATTGGACGTTTAATGTATATTATTTTATTTGACATATTTTGTTGAACATTAAGAACTTTAAGTACACTCATTTCAAATTCACCCAAAGGGTTGATATGATGAATTGTTTTATCACTCGGTTTGATTATCTAAAACAAAATTATTTAACAAAATTACATTTAAAGTCATTTTTATATTTTGCTAGTTTATAAAATTAGTATTTATAAGTTAAGTATTGCATATGCAATAAGAGTTTTATAAAGAACAATGGATAAAACCAATCAAAAATTTTTTTTTACTAAAGTTTAAATACTGTACCATAATATATAACTTATATAAGTTTCTATATTAGTTATAGGAATAAATTAATCATTTTAAAAATACTTAAATATTTCACATAATGTAAGCGCGATTCCATGTAAAAAATTCCAGGACATGCAACCCTAAGTTTTAATTTTGCTGATTTTTACATCACTCAAAGATTTTAATAAATTATATTCTTTAGGGGGCATCCATAAAGTACGTACGCAGTAAAACCACTGATTTAGGACACCTCCTCCCCCCTTGTACGAACCTGTACGCTTTCGAAGACCCCCTCCCCCTCCGCCCGCATTTTTTTTTATCCTCATTGTTAAAAAAGAGAGATTATTAAAAAAAATTGTGATTGAAGTCAGAGAAAAACAATCAACTCAGATTTGTTACACACGTGAAATTCAATGTTTAAAAAATAAATAAAATCAAGTTTAAGAGATATAATCAAACCGCGTACGTACTCACTGTCTTTAACAACCCCTCCCCCCCCTTGTACGCGTTCGTACGCTTTTGGAAACCCCCTCCCCCTTACCTGCGTACGTACTTTATAGATGGCCCCTTACTTTGAACCAAAAATGTGCCGTTTTAAAAAATGATTTTGGACTTTTTTTCTATTCTGTGCGCAATGAAAGCTAAAAATATGTATACTTAAAAAAAAAAAAAAGACCTAAAATTTTGCGTTTAATTACAAATATGCCAATGTAGCTCAATTTTTTTTTAGATGTTGTCCTGAATAGTTTAGTTTGAGTTGCTACAAAGAATTGGAGTGGTTTTTTCTTAACTAGAAAAAAATGGTTAAATTTACTTAAATTTGTTATTCATAAAACAGAAATTATGAAAAATCAAAGGAAAAAAAAAGGTTTTGAAGGTTTTATATGGAAGTTGATATTTATTACTTTGTTGTCTTGAATAATTTAGTTAGAGTTACCACAATAAATTGGATTGTGGTTTTAAAACAAAATTAAAAAAAAAAAAAATAGTCATATGTACATCATTTTATGAGGAAAAAGCTTAGAATCATAATCTGACTTTTTAATTTAATGTTTCTAAATGTTTAATTAAATTTTTATTAAAATACTAAATAAGTTTTGATAAACAAAAATTGTAATTTTTTAATTTCTGAGTGAAGTTATATTTTTTAATTTCAAAGACCTGAACTGATCTCAAAAATAAGAAAATAATAACTAAATTTTTTTTTTCTTCAGTTTTGAGATTTTGACAATTTCCTTGTTTTTAACAAGAAAAATTTAGTAAATGGGGGAGGAGGGGGGGGGGGGAAGGGGTCTTAATAAACTTGGAAAATTTTCCGAAAAATAATTAACATCAAATTTTGTGTATTAAGCACCATAGAACCTTTTTTTTCCATAATTCTTGTTTTATAAGTAAAAATTGAAGTGAATTTAAACAGGCTTTTTTTCTGTTTAAGAAAAGACCACTCTACGACTCTTTGTGACAACTAAACTAAACTATTCAGGAAAAGATTTCGTCGATAATCATAACTTATTAAAATCTTTGAGTTGTGTAAAAATGAGACGGGGATGGATTTATATAAAAAATTGGATGTTTTCACATGGAATTACCTGTAAGTGTTGAATGGAAATATGTAGCAATACAACTTATTAACATGTCAAGTTTAAACATTCCAAAACAAATATATATTGCTTTTTGAAATTTAGCTAATATTTGTTAATACCTCAGGCTGCCTTCATTTTAGGTCAGTTTGATTTGGTAGCTCTTTAAGTAAAAGTAACCCAACTGGTGCCAATACTTCAATCTGATTTTTCAAACCTAGGAAAAACAGATTAACATACTTATTTTAATATTGCATATATTGAAACATTTTCAAATAAATACAGCCTTTTCAATTTTGAAATATATTTAGTGTGTCTGACCAAATCATGCCACCACT